ATTATCAATTCCAAATATGCATTAATCCAAATTGATCTGCTACGGATCTAATTTTATTTGAGTTGGATTTTATTCTTTTTTTTTTTTATTTAGTGATCTCGGGGAAAGGGGAATGAAATAAAATACGGTACAGCAATGCGCGCTTCCGCTTCGTTCGCGTTCGCACAGCGAAACATTTGTCCTACGCGGCGTCCCTATGATTTATGGCAGTATTATTCGCACCCAGCTACCCTTTCAATAAAATAACATCGATATTCCCGAGTGGCATTATTGAGACGAATTGTTTTCACCGTGTTGCCCCGACGTTCTCGAGTACGCAAATTTTTCGCGGCTCGTACTCATTCAATTGTCATCGATATCCGCTAATATCGGTTATTCATTACCATTCATTACCATTACGTAACTATTATCTGATGTGATTCGTGAAATAAAATTAAGCTTGCGGTAATACTAATACGGATAAAATTTATCAGAAGATTTACAATTATGTAGGATTAACATGACACAAAAGATTGATTGATCGATTTATTTATTTAATGCAATTACAAGTTTAACATGACATAAAATGATGATCATTTTCATATTTTTTAATTTTCAGAAAATTTTATCAAGTTACTATCTTATTTTTTAACGTTGTTTGATTTGTCATATAACTAAATTTTTAATATATCTAAATATTTTATTAGATAAATAATGCAAATATTAAAAAGAATTACAAATTAAATACGTTTGTGAGTGAAAACGATATCACTTACTATCTATTTAGCTTTCGTAAACTATGTCAGATAGATCAAATATAAATTGACTATGAAAGCGAGATGATCCGACTTAATTTATTAGTTGTTGGCGTTGAAAACTAGAATTGCTTCATTCAAATACACTGATACATTGACGTATGAAGATGTATATATCTACAATAATAGCTTCCTCAGCACGGAGATTTGCTATTAATCACAAGCAAACGGTAACTTAATCCAGTTTAGTCATAACGCAAACATAATTCGGTAACGCCAGTACCAGTTTTCGTGCCAGTTAAAAAGATATAACTTTAATACAAATTCAATATGAGTTTAAAGCGCAGACGTACATGCAATAAAATTATAATGTTTTTTCTTTTTTCATCTATATATGTGCGAATTAATTATTTGTTCTTTCTGTTATTATCTTTTATTAACATAGACAAAATCTTTTTCCATTCTCCGGTAGATTAAAAAAATTTTTAAGAACGCTTAATATGACAAAGTATAACAGAGATTATATTGTGCGTCATGATGCTCTACCTGATGTTTAT